TAATGATAATAATAATATTTATAATAATAGAAGTAATAGTAATAATAACAATAATAATGATAATAATAATAAAAAAATAACAACAATAATAATGATAATAATAATGATAATAACAATAATAATAATAACAATAATGATAATGATAATGATATTGACAATAATGATAATAATGATAAAAATATTAATGATAATGATGATAATATAATAATAATAATAATAATAATAATAATAATAATAATAATAATAACAATAATAATATTAATGATAACAATGATAATTATGATAATGAAAATATAGGAATAGTTATGATAATAACAATAATGATAATGGTAATGATAATAGTAACGGCATTAATGATGATGATGATAATAGTAATAATAATAAAAAAGAATAACAATAATAATAGTAATAATGATGATAATAATAATAATAATAATAATAGTAATAATGATAATAATAATAATAATAATAATAATAATAATAATAATAATAATAATAATAATAATAATAATAATAATAATGATAATAAGGATTATAATAATAATAATGATAATAATAATAACAATCATAATAATGATAATAATGATAACAACAACAATGATAATGATATTAATAACAGTAATTAAAAACTAGTAATCATAATGATAGTAATACTTTCTAATAATAATCGTAATAATAATAGTGATAATGATAGTGATAATAATGATATTAATGAAGATAGTAATAATAATGATCACGATAATAAGGGTAATGACGATAGTAATAATAATGATAACAATAATAATAATGATAATGAAAATAATAATAACAATAAAAACAATAATAATTATAATAACAACAACAGTAATAATGATATTATTATTAATAATAGCAATACTATTAGTGATAAGAACAACAACAATGATATTAATAATAGTAATAATAAAAATAATAATATAATGATAATAATGACAATGATTATAACAATGGTGATAGTAGTAGTAGTAGTAGTAGTAGTAGTAGTAGTAGTAGTAATAATAATGATAATAATGATAATGATAATAATAATAACAACAACAATAGTAATAATAATAAAAAATACTAATAATAAGATAACTCATGATGATAGTAGCATTAATAATAATAATAATAGTTGTAATATTAATATTGATATTAATGATAATGATAAAGACAAAAATACTAATGACAACAACATCCCCCCCTTCGCAGGGTCGAAGGGGGTATGGCTTAAGATAAAGGTGAAAGTGAGATTTCTCTGTAAGGAAACTGAAGGGTCGTCCTTGTAGTGAAGACGTACGGAGGGGAGACAAGGTAGGGGGAGGGGGTATAGAGATATGTATAGGTGGAGGGGTTCCATAAGTGTGGGGAGGGTTCTTTTTTTTTAGTGTGGGGAGGGTTCTAGAAATGGAGAGGGAAGATAGGGGTAGTCCTGGGCATGTTGTGGGTTCGTATGATTGCGATGTGGGGGTGGGGGGGGGGGACCACGTACAGTACAGATTACGATTACGAGGGGAGGGGGCCCCAGTAAGTGTATTAGTGAAGGGGGTAGGGGGGGGAAGGGGATTTCCGTTGACCCGGGGTGTGTCCTTGCATGTCTGCAGGTGTTGGGTCTAGTTAAGATGAAAGGAGGGGGGGAAGAGTAATGAAATCGGGCCAAAGGGGATGCGACCCCCAAGGAGCCGTGTCCCATGTCCGTCTGAAGCTGTGGTGAAGCGAGCATGCAACACTCAACCCTCTGGGAGTGCGTCATGCAAATGAGTGAAGCCTTTGAGAAGCACCGAGCCGTGTTTCATTGACTCCGGGCGAGGTTCCGGCAACTTGCTTCACTCCATCTGATATAACGTAGAGCTTAATCGGTCTTGAAAGCAAGGTATCTCCGATTCTTCTTCCATTTTACGAAAGGAACTAGTTGGGCGTTTTAAGATTTATTTGACGTCTGTAAAACCTTAACGGGGACATCCTATGAATGCCTCAAATGTAAGACATTTCCTCCTAAAATTCTACACTTCTTGAAGGAAGCTCACCAAAGAAGGAAGACCACACAGATAGGCGAACTTGTCTAAAGGTTCTTTAGAAGCAATGAACTACCTCTCTTGAGAAAGGAGTGAAGCCAGGGTCTTAGCTGCTTCTCAGATTTCACAACCTGTTTTCTTTTAGAACATGTTTTCTACTCGAACTTCGTTTAATCATGAACACAATCGTCTTCAATTACTGTCATTCATCCGACAGTCATTAATCAGCATGTATTCTCGTACATATCACGTTCCTCAATTCTGTTTTCCACCCGAATCCTTGCACCGGCATTGCAGTGTCAACAAAATGATAACGTGTTTCCGTGTCTGTCAACCACTCATCTTTTCCTTCGGCTCTGAAAGAAACCGGAAACTTTCTTGCTCTATTTTTCTGGCTCCGTGTTCATTCGGACGCCTGATTGGAAGCGCCTGGGACTCGGTGGTGCAACTGGTCTTTTATCGTACTCTGTTTAGGAAGCACAGAAAAA